ATTGTTGTTAGGGTCCCTGAGTTTGTAAAGACAAGAGGTTCATAATTGGTTGAAAGATGCCCGTGATTGGGCTATATCAAGAAACAGGTACTGGGGCACACCTATACCTCTGTGGGTCTCTGATGACTTTGAGGAGGTAAGCCACCCACTAATGAATCCAACACTTACAAGACTCCAACATCAATAGGTTGTGTGTATAGGCAGCATTGATGAGTTGGAAAAATATTCAGGAGTTAGAGTGACCGATTTGCATCGTGAAAAGTAAGACCACATATGCAACAATTATAATCATAACCTATATACATTGTGCTTCAAACCATCTCTTAGTGTTGATGATATTACTATTCCCTCGATTCGTGGTAAAGGTGTCCTTAGACGCGTCACCGAAGTCTTTGATTGCTGGTTTGAGAGTGGGAGGTAAGACCATGCCCCTCCCATCACATGACCATATACTCTCCACACAGCATGCCTTATGGTCAGAGTCATTATCCGTTTGAGAATAAGAAAGCGTTTGATGCTAATTTTCCGGCCGATTTCATTGCCGAGGGCATCGATCAGACTCGTGGCTGGTTCTATACTCTACTAGTGGTTGCTACTGCTTTGTTTGATAACCCGCCATACAAGAACCTCATCATTAACGGACTGGTCCTGGCAGCGTAAGTACACTATTGTGTTTATACTATTTGTAGGTGTGGCTTTTATAAAAGTTAGTTATACCCTCTCTGTTCCTCTTTTTTTCTCAGTAATGGTCAGAAGATGAGCAAGAGGTTAAAGAATTATCCTGATCCGGTCGAAATTGTCAATAAATTTGGAGCTGATGCTTTGAGGTAGAGCTGAAACGGATGTGGTATTTTACTATCCGGATATCCTGTTGAAATTTCTTTCGGATATTTGCCGGATAGTTAATTAATAAAAGTTAATTAGTTAGTGACTGCAGACATCAAAAAAGCAAAGTTTTTATTCCCCAGGATGTTATTCTTGTACATTTCTGGTAGTTAAGAAGCTCAAAAATGATTAAGAAGTGGCTGACAAGGTTGGTAGCTTCAAGAACTTACTCTTTTATTGCTGGTCATTAACTGACAGAATTGCATTAATTAGTTATAAAGTCTAGTTATTAAGTTTAATTATCCTATTTGTCAAAAATTACTATCCGGATACTAAATTTATAAACGGATATCCGGATAATCAGGATATCTGTTTCAGCTCTACTTTGAGGTAGACCTGTCCATTATCCATCCAGTTCCATGACC